AGAACAAGTCTCTGAGAGGGCCTGGCGACCTTCAAAGGGTTAATACAATTTACAATAGTACAATACAGTAGTATCCCTGTATCTGCTGGGAATATGTTCCAAGACTTACCATGGATACCTGAAACCGTGGATAGTAGTAAACTCTATATATACATCTCTTTTTTTTGTTTACATACATACCTATGACAAAGTTTCACAAATTACACACAGTAAGTCAAGAATTATCACTTTTCACTGATGGGAAACACTTCAAGGCTTCCCCTAGTCTTTGAAGAACTGCCATCACCACTACTTTAGTGCTTCGGTGTCATTATTAAGCAATACTGAGGCTTATTTTCGAGCCACGGCAAACCGCAGATAACTTAAACCACAGAAACCTAAGCCATGGCTTTGGGGGTTCTACTGTAGTACAGTTTTAAGTGTGTATTGATACTTTAAATTGATTCAGTGTTCTTAAATTAATTGGGATTTCCTGAAAAGTTTCAGACTGTTTCTACGATTTCAGACACAGTAGAGTTGATATTAAGTCTGAGAGATGGGGTGATTTTTAATTATAGCCCTAAACTGATTGGCAGACAGGTGACCTTTTGGTGGTTAGGGCAATGAATTCCAGATCTTAGGGCCCTTTATGTGAATTGCATTTTTGTACAGGGCAAGATGGACACGAGGGATGTCAAAGAGTTTTGTGCTTTGTATTGTGCCTGTGTGTTCTGTTGTAGCTATCAAGAACTTCGAGAGGAGGGTTTATATTGGAGTTTCATGTTCTACACATATATAATAGGCACAGCAGTATGAATGCATATTTTGTACATTAACCCTTTGAGGGTTTGTCCCGTAGTTCTACAGCTTTGAAGCCTGGGTTCAAGTCATAGTTCTATGCCATGAGTGCAGCTCACTCAGATAAGCTGTGAGCAGTAAATTTGGGCCTAGTTATAATAGAATACATCTATATGATACGTGTGCACCACATAAAACAAATCCTGCAGCATGCAGCACATGAGAAAAAAACTGCGACTGTATTTTTGGATTAAAACAGTGACTTTGCGGTGTTTTATCGTATGTTTTTTACAAATGAATTCAAGGTTTCTTGGTCTCATTTATAGAATGTAAGATATATTACAAAAATAGTGATAATTTTCATTGGTTTTAGTATTGAAAATGGCTTAAAACTGAGCTCAAAATAGGAGAAATGTTCGATTTCTGCCAATGTTCAAGGGTAAACAGATGATGTCACACATCCAATACACATCAGCTGGTGGATCTAATGTCCATTCACAAATGCACTGATATTATTTATACAATTACTGCAATACTGCATAACAGTAAATCTTCTATTTTTTGGTGTGAATAAAAATTCATTATGTGAATAAAAAAAATTTAATGGAACTCACTTGTAAAGTCTGGAAACATAACTAATAAACAGAGGAAATGTAATTTTAGTGCCAGGAATGCCTGCATTGTTTATTCTGGACCCTATTTTGAAATTGGAATATTTTGAAATTTGTGTGAAATTGGCCAAATTACCAATTTCCTATCACTTTATTGGGTAGTTGAAACAGTTGACTGGGTAATTTCTTGTGCTCAATTGATAAAACAGAAGTAAAACTAACAAAATAGCTAAGAATTTGGTCGACTGGAATTATGAAACTAAGACACATATGCAACATCTGGGTATTTTTATTGTAAACGTTTTGCCATCCAGTGGCTTTATTAATACAAATTCCAGGACATAACTTGAAGACAGTAGAACTATATACAGAAAATAAGGTAATCAGTCCCTCAACCTTGGGGTTGGTGCAAAGAGCACCGTAGTCGTGTAGATTCTGAAGCAGAAGCAAGAAGCCTGGCGCTTTTATACTAACATCAGGTGGAAACGGGACATGTAGCAGACGAGGGCATAGCCACTGGTAGGCGGGATTCCCCAGTGGAAGTAGGTCCTACCCAAAGAGATGGGTTAGTTGTAGTAGTAGTTGTCAAAGTCGTGAAGGTTATGAACATGTCCTCAGAATCAAGACTCCATGATGTTGCAGTGTCTGACAAGTTGTACAAGAATGGTATACAATACCGACAAGATGAAACCAGGACACATATGCAACATACAACACCGACAAGATGAAACTAAGACACATATGCAACATATGTTGCATAAGTGTCTTAGTTTCATCTTGTCGGTATTGTATACCATTCTTGTACAACTTGTCAGACACTGCAACATCATGGAGTCTTGATTCTGAGGACATGTACATAACTTTCACGACTTCGACAACTACTACTACAACTAACCCATCTCTTTGGGTAGGACCTACTTCCACTGGGGAATCCCGCCTACCAGTGACTATACCCTCGTCTGCTACACATCCCGTTTCCACCTGACATTAGTATAAAAGCGCCAGGTTTCTTGCTTCTGCTTCAGAATCTACACGACTATGGTGCTCTTCACACCAACTCCAAGGTTGAGGGACTGATTACCTCATTTTCTGTATATAGTTCTACTGTCTTCAAGTTATGTCCTGGAATTTGTATTGATAAAGCCACTGGATGGCGAAACGTCTACAATAAAGATACCCAGATGTTGCATATGTGTATTAGTTTCATCTTGTCGGTATTGTATACCATTCTTGTACGACTGGAATTATGTAACTGGCCTAAAATGGAGTCAAAGTGGGCAAAATTGCCGATGCATAAATATCGCTGATGCAGCAAAATTTGCAAGAGCGTAATTTCGTCAATTTTTCATCAACTTTCATATTTTTTGTTTTATTACCTTCAGAAAAAGATTCTTTACCATATCATAAGAAAAAAAAAATTATATTCTTAAAACCCATGGACAAGTTTTCAGATTGGGTTCTGGGCCCTGAATGGGTTAAGTTCAAACTCTTGAAGAGCAAAGCGTGTGTTGTTTGGCACAGAAGCTGGTGATCATCTGCACAGCAGCTTTTTGCTGGGTTATTAATGGTTTAAGGTGATTGGTTGTAGTAGACCCCCAAGGACAAATACCATACGTGAGGTAAGGGTAGATTAGAGAGTGGTATAGTGTAAGTAGTACCACTGGGGGTAGATAGTACTGTATTTTGGAAAGGATGCCTGCTGTTCTGGAGACCTTCTTGGCTATATGTAGGATGTGGGGTCTGAAATTTAACCCTTTGACTGTCGCAACCCCCAATCCTGAGGTGTCTCCTGGTGTCGCAAAATTTAAAAAAAAAAAAAAAAAATTTCTTATGAAATGATAGAGAATCTTTTCCCGATTGTAATGACACCAAAAAAACGAAATTTGATGGAAAACTGACGGAATTATGCTCTCGCGAAGTTAGCGACCTCGGCGCTGTTTACAAATCGGCGATTTCGCCCACTTTGAGCCCTATTTTCGGCTAATTCCATTGTTCCAGTCGCCCAAACTCATAGCTATTTCTTTAGAACTTCATTTTTTCTATCGATTGAGTACAAGAAACTACCCATTTACTGATTTCAACTACCTAATAATGTGGTCAGAAATTTGCAATTTGGCCAATTTCACGAAAACTAAAAAATATGACAATTTCAAAATAAGGTCCAGAATGAACAATGCAGACATTCCAGGCTCTAAAATAACATTTTCTTTGTTCATCAGTCACGTCTCCAGGCCCCTCTGATATTACTCTTGATTTCTATTTTGAATTTTTATTCAAACAAAAAATATTAGACTTACTATTATGCAGACTACTGCAATGCTGTAATAACTGTATAAATAACATCAACCCATTCATGACTGCATATTAGAATGGCTAGTTGGACATTTATTGGACAATGGCATCATTTGTTTACTTTTGAACATTGGCAAAAATCAAACATTTCCCCTACTTTGAGCTCCATTTCTAGGGTTCTTTTTATAGTAAAATCAATCAAAACACCTCTATTTCTGTAATATGTTTTCCATTCTATCAAATGAGACCAAGAAAACGAGAATACAACCATAAATACTATATGAAAATAGACCACAAAGTCGGCATTTTAATTAAAAAAAAAACGGTCGGAGTTTTTTTTTCTCATTATGCACTGCGTGCTCCAGGATTTTTTTTATATGGTGCACACTGACCACACAGACCCATTCTCTCACATGTGGGCCTACCAGCTTTCTCCTGCTTGATTTGAAGCCGCTAGACTTTATGAGTATATATACGTCAAACACGGCACCTAGTAAAACGTATATATACGGCCGCGACAGTCAAAGGGTTAAGGTTGCAGTCAAGGTAAAGCCCTAAAAATTTGCCTTCAGTGTGTCTTGTAATAGGGGAACCACTGATCAATGTTAATCAAGTGTTAGTTTTCATTACTTACCCTCCTTGAGTTCTGAATGAAAAAGCAGTGTGTACTACTGGTTACAATACTCATATTATTAGTGTCTTCTGCATCAGCGGACCAAATCCACTATTGTAGAAGACAACTGGACGACTTTGCCACTAATAACACTATTGTAATAGGTGAGACTCAAACTCATTGAAAGCCAGTCCTAAAACTATCAGGCAAGTGTTCTAACCACACAGGCTTAATAGGATTCATCCAAATAGGTAAAATTCTATATACTAGAGGTTAGCAGTGCCCCACTGAGTGCAAATACAGGTTTTTGTGGTCCCATGGAGACTGGATAACAGAATTACTGTACTAAACACTTTTCATTAAATAAAATGTATAATTAAAAACTAAGAAAACTTTTATCTGCTTGCTCTAGTAAAGAACATACATTATCAAGGATACATGATTATTAGAACAAGCTGCACTGCATGCTGCAGGATTTGTTTTATATGGTGCACACTTACCACATAGATGCATTCGCTCATATCTAGGCCCAAATTTACCGCTCACAGCTTATCTGAGTGAGCTGACTCATGGCGTAGAACTATGTGGACGGACCCTCAAAGGGTTAAGGGTTAGGAAATTAGTCATGAAATATTTTGAAATTTTTTGAAGACAGGAATATAGTGAAACCCTGATAAAAAAAAATTATCATTTATATTACACCTTACCTTAAACCCCAGAAGAGGAGGATGAGAACAACTGGTAACAAATTTGAGAAGTTGTCGTTTTTGAGTTTCATCAAATCCTCGGAGAACCTGCCAGAATGCTTGTATGGTTGGGTGCTCAGCGTTATACGTTCCTGATGATCATAATACAGAAGTATTTCAATTTCAAATTTATTATACACCAGTATTTAAAAACCATTTTTGAACAAAATGTGAGCTTGAGAGAGCTCAAATTTGAGGATGAAGTACAGGTCTCTCCCTCAACATTCATGAGGGTTAGGGGAATATAATAAAATACTGCTTCTAAAATTTGTTAGAAAACATTCAGCGATGAATGATAAAATTAATTCATTGCATTAGAAATCTTCTGTTTTTTAAGATGAAGAATGAGGGAGACATGATTGAAGTGTATAAGTGGAAGATGGGTATTAATAAAGGGGATATAAATAAGGTCTTGGGGATATCTCTCCATGAGAGAACCCACAATAATGGATTCAAATCAGACAAATTTAGATTTAGAAAGGATATAGGAAAGTATTGGTTTGGAAATAGGGTAGTTGATGATGGAACCATCTGCCTAGGGGGGTTTTATTGAGGCTAGAACCTGGGTAGTTTTAAATTTAGGTTGGATAAATACATGAGTGAGAGTGGTTGGATTTGAGTGGGACTTGCACATGAGTAAATAGAAAAACCCAAAGCTTATTGCTTGGGTAGAATTGAAATTGATTTGGGGCAAATATAGAAAACAATAACATAGTGATAGTAGGGGATTTTAACTTTAGTCAAATTGACTGGACTTCTTTGACCAGTAATCTGGAGCCCAGTGACTTTACAGAAGTAGTTCAGGACTGTTTTCTGAAGCGGTGTGTAACAGAGCCTACCAGGGGTAATAATTTGCTCAACTTAGTCTTGCCAAATAAGGAAACACTCGTAAATAATCTGGAGAGTGCTGAAGAGCTGGGTGTAAGTGATCACAAATCGATCACTTTTGGCATTAACTGGGAATACGAGAATACGATAATACGGTAAAAGTACAGTGGTCCCCCGCTTTTCGTAGTTCCCGGCAATCGTAAAATTCGCCAATCATAGGGGTATTTTCGTATAAACATGGACTTGCTTTTCATAGGTTGACTCGCGAGTCGTAGTTCGTCCGGGACGCGTACGCACGGTGTGGGCCAGGGCGGCAGCCAGTCTGGCATTGTTTGCCAGCGAGCGAAGGTCCCCTCGCGTGCTCCAGCGAAATATTTCATAATATTCCATTTATTTTAGTGCTTGCAAGTACTAAATAAGCTACCATGGCTCCAAAGAAAGCTCCTAGTGCCAAGCCTGTGGAAAAGAAGGTGAGAAATACGATTGAATTTAAGAAAACCATCACTGAACGATATGAAAGTGGTACAAGTGTGGCCGAACTGTCCAGGATGTATAAGGGAAACCCTACACAACCTTATGTTCCATAGGGGCCAAGAAAAATGAAATAAAGATCTGTTGTTGGAAAGGGAGTAACTATGCTGACAAAAATGAATCACCAGTACTGGAAGAGGTTGAGAAGTTATTATTGGTTGGATAAATGAGAAACAATTAGCAGGAGATACTCTTATGACTTCGTTTTTTGTGAAAAGGCTAGGCAGTTGCATGAAGATTTGGTAAAGAAATTCCCTTTCAAATAGTGGTGAAGTGAGTGGATTTAAGGCCAGCAAAGGCTGGTTTGAGAGATTTAAGAACCGAAACTGGCATACACAGTGTGGTAAGGCATGGTGAGGCTGCCAGTTTGGACCACAAGGCAGCTGAAAAATATGTGCATGAATTCCAGTAGTACATAAACATGAAGGACTGAAACCTGAACAAGTGTTCCAATTGTGATGAAACGGGCCTCTTTTGGAAAAAATGCCAAAGAGGACCTTCATTACACAAGAGGAAAAGGGCAATCCCGGGGACATAAGCCTAAAAGACAGGCTGACGCTAATGTTCTGTGCTAATGCTAGTGAGGATTTCAAAGTGAAGCCATTACTAGTGTACCATTCTGAAAATTCCAGAGTGTTCAGGAAAAACAATGTTATAAAGAGTAAATTGTGTGTGTTTTGGAAATCTAATAGTAAGGCATGGGTCACGAGGGAAATTTTCGTCGAGTGGTTCAATGAAGTGTTTGACCCTAGTGTGAAGGAGTATCTCCTGGAAAAGAAATTGGATCTCAAGTGCATGCTAGTTTACCTGGAGTTTACCTGGAGAGAGTTTCGGGGGTCAATGGACAATGCACCTGCTCATCCTCCAAACTTGGATGACCTAATTTTCGAGGAGTTTGGGTTCATCACAGTAAAGTTCTTGCCCCCGAATACCACTCCTCTCCTCCAACCCATGGACCAGCAGGTTATTGCAAACTTTAAAAAACTCTACACAAAAGCAATGTTTCACAGGTGCTTGACTGTGACCACAGACACTCACTTGACCCTAAGGGAATTTTGGAGAGAACACTTCAGCATCCTCCACTGCATAACCCTTATAGGTATGGCTTGGGAGGGAGTGACTACCAGGACTTTGAACTCTGCCTGGAGAAAACTGTGGCCAATTGTGTCCGACAAGAGGGATTTGAAGGATTTGGGACTGCCCTAATGAGCCTATGTCTGTTGTAAAATCAATTGTGGCACTGGGAGTTCCATGGGTTGGAGTGAGTTTGGAGGATGTGGAAGAATTGGTGGAAGACCACAATGAAGAGCTCACCATGAGGAGCTGCAAGAGCTTCAGCAGGAAAAGGGAACACATCGCAGCTCAGAATCTTGCTGCAGAGGAGGAGGAAGAGAGATGGAAGAAGGTGCCTTCTTCAAATTAAGAGATTTTTACATGTGGGGTAAGGGTGGAAAGCTTATTTGGGGAAACATCACCCTAACAAGGTTGTTGCAAGCCAGGTTGGCAAAAATGTACAGTGACAAAGTCTTGGGCCATTTAGGGAAGTGTTAAATAGACGCCAGAAACAGAGCTCTCCCACAGTTATTTTGTGAGACAGGACTCCAGTGACTCTCAAGGTGGTCCTAGTGGCATTAAGAAACAGAGAAGAGAAGCAACCCCAGAAAAGCAAATGGTACCTGAGGTGTTGATGGAAGGGGATTCCCCTTCCAAACTATAAACAATCCACTCTCTCTCCTCCTCCAGTCTCCCATACACTAAGAAGAATCTCCAATAAAGGTAAGTGTTATGCTGTTAATGTTTCATTCATCATTTCCCATTGTATTGTTTATGTACTACATGCATATTTCATGTTAAAAATTTTTTTGTTTTAATACTTCTGGGTGTCAGGAACGGATTAATTGTATTCACATTATTTCTTATGGGGAAAATTGATTCGTAAATCATAAATTTCGTTTATAGTAACGGCTCCAGGAACGGATTAATTATGAACAACGAGGGACCACTGTACCTGATTTTCGTTCTGCCGATTTTCATGGACTTAGGGAACACCTGTCTAATCTCGATTGGGGTAATTTAGCTAATAATTTTATTGACGATGATCATACTTACAATTACGAAGGGATCTGTGTTTATGATTTTTTTTCTTAATAATGTACAACGTGCACAGAGTACATACATTCCCCAGAGACAAATTAGGTCTAGTAACAACGATCCCAAATGGGTTAACAGGAAGTTAAAGCATCTATTAGTGGAGAAAATGGGAATTTATAGGTGTATCAAAAGAGGAGAGGTTAACCAGGAGTATCTGAGAGAGTTAGAGCAAAGGAAGGGGTAGCAGTAATGTTGAAGGATCAGTTATGGAAGGAGAAAAGAGAATATGAATGTGTAAATTCAAGGATTATGTGGATTAAAGTAAAGGTTGGATGCGAAAAGTGGGTCATAATAAGTGTGTATGCACCTGGAGAAGAGAGGAGTGTAGAGGAGAGGGAGAGATTTTGGGAGATGTTAAGCAAATGTATAGGAACCTTTGAACCAAGTGAGAGAGTAATCGTGGTAGGGGACCTAAATGCTAAAGTAGGAGAAACAATTAGAGAGGGTGTGGTAGGTAAGTTTGGGGTGCCAAGTGTAAATGATAATGAGAGCCCTTTGATTGAGCTTTGTATAGAAAGGGGTTTAGTTATAGGTAATACATATTTTAAGAAAAAGAGGATAAATAAGTATACAAGATATGATGTAGGGCATAATGACCGTAGTTTGTTGGACTATGTATTGGTAGATAAAAGACTGTTGAGTAGACTTCAGGATGTACATGTTTATAGAGGGGCTACAGATATATCAGATCACTTTCTAGCTGTAGCTACAGTGAGAGTAAAAGGTAGATGGGATACAAGGAAAATAGAAGCAGCAAGTAAGAGAGAGGTGAAGGTGTATAAACTAAAGGAGGAGGCAGTTTGGGTAAGATATAAACAACTATTGGAGGATAGATGGGCTAGTGAGAGTATAGGCAATGGGGTCAAAGATGTTTGGGGTAGGTTTAAAAATGTGTTAGAGTGTTCAGCAAAAGATTGTGGTTACAGGAAAGTGGGTGCGAGAGGAAAGAAGAGCGATTGGTGGAATGATGATGTAAAGAGAGTAGTAAGGGAGACAAAGTTCGCTTATAAGAGATTTTTACGAAGTAGAAGTGATGCAAGGAAGGAAGAGTATATGGAGAGAAAAGGAGGGGCTAAGAGAGTGGTAAAGCAATGTAAAAAGAGAGCAAATATGAGAGTGGGTGAGATGTTATCAACAAATTTTGTTGAAAATAAAAATGTTTTGGAGTGAGATTAATAAGTTGAGGAAGCCTAGGAACAAATGAATTTGACAGTTAAAAATAGGAGAGGAGAGTTATTAAATGGAAAGTTAGAGGTATCGAGAAGATGGAGGGAATATTTTGAGGAATTATTAAATGTTGATGAGGATAGGGAAGCTGTAATTTCGTGTACAGGGCAAGGAGGAATAACATCTTGTAGGAGTGAAGAAGAGCCAGTTGGGAATGTGGGGGAAGTTCGTGAAGCAGTGGGTAGAATGAAAGGGGGTAAGGCAACTGGGACTGATGGGATAAAGATAGGAATGTTAAAAGCAGGAGGGGATATAGTTTTGGAGTGGTTGGTGCTATTATTTAATAAATGTATGGAAGAGGGTAAGGTACCTAGGGATTGGCAGAGATCATGCAGAGTTCCTTTGTATAAAGGCA